TTACTCTCTGGTGATGAAGTCCTACCCTTACTCCCTTACTCCTTTTTTCCCTCATTCTGCTTTTCCTCAAGACATTTTGTTCATGTGTTCCTTTCTCTTCCTGTACCCACATTTCTTTAGCTTCCTTTTAGCTCTTTCAGTCTATATTCCTTGGTTACCACGTTAGTCACGCTCCCAACAGCTTCCACTCGTGTTCACTTACGTCCTTCTGTCATATCCATGGCAAAACCTGAGCAGGGATCATTCCAAAATGCCCTGCCTCCTACGCCACTTGAGGGGATTCCCAACCTCTAAATATCCAACAGGACACTTGGTGTCAGCTGCACCTGTCTGATGTAGCTCTTTTCATGCTATGTGACTCTGCTCTGTCCTGATCCAACTCTGCTCTCTCTTTCCTATCTCACCTGGAGATGGCCTTCCTTACTGTTTCTCACACCAGGTTGAAAATGGAGCCAATCTTAAGTACTATCTCTGCCTCCCAAGTTACCAGAATCTTTTCTTGTCTGACTTGGAGGAAAAGCTGTCCTTCCTTCTGTCATAGGTTAAAATTTCTATCGTCCCTGCTTTCTTGTCACTTCCAAATATGTTATGGAATTTACCTTTTATTTTTTCCTCCTTTTACTCCCCCCCCCCATGTAATATAAATCTCACAAAAGCAGGGAGTTCATTCACTTTTATTTATTTATTTATTTTGCTATTTATAGATGTGAGGTGTGAGAGGAAGACAGTAATCACGGATGACTCCAAGCTCTTTGGCCTGATCACTGGAAGGCTGGAGTTGCCTATAATTGAGATGAAGAAGGCCATTAATGGAGCAGGTTTGGAGGAGAAGGTCAGGGCATGTTAGACCTTTGTGTAGAGGTGTTGAGTAGACAGTAGGATATGCAAAGTTGAGAGACGAGGTCCAGAATGGAGAGAGATATGCAGGGGTCATCAGGAGGTTCTGGGACTAGATTGGAGGTCCAGAAGAGTGTCAGTAATAAAGAGAAAGAGACCAAGGATGGAGCCCTGGGGCATTCCAACATCAGGGAGAGGAAGAGGGGCTGTCAAGGAAGTTGAAAAGGAGAGCACTGGGCTGTGATGGGAGGAGAAGCAGGGAACGAGGTTCTGGAATCCAAGTGAACAGGTGTCTTAATGAAGCAAGGGGCACTAGCTACATCCAGCACTGCTGATAAACCACAGAAAATGATAACAGAGAATTAACCATTGGATCTGGTGTTGCACCAAGAGGGCCTCAACATAAGTGTGTTTAATAGAGGGGATAAAAGCATGGTTGGAGTGGGTTTGAGAGAAAGAGGGTGAATGGAGAGATAAAAGGAAACCATTAGCTTATGGCAATAAAAACTTATGAAGAGAAAAATGAGTTTCTGCTAAAAAGAAAAAAGTCTTGGTGTAGTTATCAACCTCTAGGTCCTATCAGTTACCATCCTCAGATTTTTCTCCAGCATTGCAGTGGAGGGCCTTCAGTTCTTGCCTGAAGAAATAGTGACTTTGCTGGGAGCATGGCTTTGTGAAAGTCAGAGAGGTTATAGCATGGCAGAATGGGCCTGGAGGCCACGACTCTAGCTTCCTGCTGGTCTGTCAGGTCGGGGTCAGGGATGCGATTGCTACAGTCTCTGCTGAAGTTGGTGGTAGCCATTTGCCATAAGTTGGGGGTTTGTGCCTGCAGGCCCAGTGGGCTGTTGCTTCTGTGATGTGTTTTAGAGGGTGGGGAACAGTGCGAGCAGAGGTGGTCATTAAAGGCCTGGGCATCCAGAATATTCCTCGATTGACCTTTTTTCTCCTACAATGGAATGACATGATGACAGAGCATAAGGCTGGCCTCCAAAGCCTCCCCTCCATGATTCTTCTGCCATAGACTATGGGGGAGGGGCAGTAGATATGACAATATGTAGAACATGTGGGCAGCTATTGTAATGAACTGTGACACAAATACTGAAAGTCTCCTGAAAAGACTGACCTCTAATCTCAAATCCTTTTTTGGAATAGAGTACATGATTTAGACTAGATTGTTTTGTATAATTTTCAAAAGGAAACTAGCCTCTACCAAACAATCGAGCTCATCTTTCTCATGTAGCAAGGCAAGAATGCAATGCAGATTTGTGTAGGAACATGGCACAACAAAACACACTGAAAGTCACAGAATAATTGAATAATGTGGGGAGGAAAGAGACAGAGAGAGTAAGAGAGGGGGTATCTGATTAAAGTACAATATATTCATTGTGAAATACCACAGCAAAACCCCTTTGAACAATGAATATATACTTAAAAAGTGAAGGATGGGAATATAAAACAGGTCCTGGGTAGATACTAGTGGGAGGGGGAAGAAGGTGGAAAGGGTAGGGAACTTTATATACTTGTATGGAAATAGAACAAGGAAACCTGTTGAAGTTGTTTTAGGAAGGTGGAGAGGAGGGATGAGGGAGAATGATGGAGGGGGTGAATCTAATCAAAGCATATATGTAAATCTATGTAAATGTCACAATGAACTGTCCATACAACTAATATATACTAATTAAAATGGTTTTTTTTAAAGAATATGATGAAGAGAGTGATGTTAAAAAATGAGCCTGATAGAGACACAGACACTGGAATTACAGATTTCTGAAGTGTGCTCAAGAGTTTCTCACTAAGAAACAAACGATGTCCAAGAGGCCACTGGGATCTTTTCATTTTGAAAACGCTTTAATAAGTGTTGACAACACTGTTTTGCAAAATGTAAAGGTACTATACAAATTCTTAATACAAAAAGAATAAATTAAAAGCAGATTTCTTTTTAATTCTGCAACTTTGTCTACAACATACATCGTTTTCATTGATTACAGTTGAACAGAATCCAATAAAATCATCTTACATGCTCTACAGTCAGTTTCAGGAGCAACCTAATCTTTTTTTCCCCCATTATTAAACTAGAGTCCATTTTACACAACTTGTAATAAACTATTGACATTAATGGATATGTAAAACTTTACACCTAGTTAACTAAGCAGTAATTGGTCATCTGATAGCACCTGGATGAGGTTTGCTATGTTTTAGAACTAAACTAATACTGAATGAAAACAAATGGGAATCTTAACAGTTTCAACACTCACCTGCATGTAACAAAATTAAAAAACAAAAACAAAACAGAAAACACCAACCTGGCTCACAACATAGTCTGATGTCTGTGTCTTTGCCAGTCTTCTGGCTGAAACACACAATTTCTTACTTTATCCAAATAATCCAGCAGGGGCTTTATCAGACCAGGGACTTCATATTTCATCTTAGTTTGTTTTAAAGAAACAGGGATATATAAAGAGTTTGCAAGTGCTTGTGTACAATAACTACAGCGTTTCCCACCATACTCATCAGTCGTCATGTCAGTCTCCAAGGCCTAACACTGTATGTACATTTCCTATGAGCTGAACTCAGCTAAACAGTAAAACCTGTTTTACTTAATCTCGGTCTTCTTCGCTGGACCTGCAATTCTTGCTCCCTCTCCAGTCCTCTCTGCTGGCACCCCCTAAATCTAAAATGTAACCCAAGTTTTTGGGAAGAATTTCTGCCTCACTCCCTGTAACTGAAACTGGCCTAAAGTCCTGAGCCCAGCAGCTTCAGACTTGATTTCAAACTGCTATCCTTGTCATGTAACCTGTAACCATGTAACCTCATCACATTTGTTTCCCTTTTGACTTTTCCTGTTGTACATAATTCGGTCTAATCATTCATGTATCTCCTTTTGGAAAAAAGAAAAATAACCTAATGTATGATGTTTCCAAATGGGGAAGGAGGAAAAAACAAACCCATGGTTTGTAGCTTTCACCATCAAAATAAGAGCAATAACCCCCACCCCCAAATCAAGGCCCAGATACATTTACTGACATCATCAGCTTTTATTTTTCCTGAAGGTTCACCTCTAAAGTGTTCTGGGAATAGTACTCTGTTCTGCAAACGGAATCACCAGCTGTGCACAGCGCTGGGGCACCCGTCCTGAATGGTCCACAGAGAAGCGGTGGAGGAGGCAGTGGCCGGCGTGGTATGAGTGCTCGCACTTGACTTCCAATGCTTTGCAGGTTGCAGCCAAGGGAGCAGCGGGGTTGGTTAGTCCATTCTGGTATCCATTCTTACCCTCCCGGTCTGGTAGAGTCTTGTTATTCTTGGATTACACATACACAAAAAACAAAGATTTTTCCTTTTGACGCTACAGCTAACTTTAGTTCTGCTTTTGCCCCAAAAGTACCCCCACTCTGGCTCCTGTCCCTGGCTGTCAATCGCCTTTGCAATAGGAAGTCATTACAAAGGAGAAATCTTCCCACCCTTTGCCCACTTGCACCGACATGAAAAGCATACCACCTCCACAGAGACTCTTTTGTGCCACCTTGACTAACCCAACTAAGATTGTGCACTGATTATTATAAGAGTGGTTTTGAGGCCTTTGAAGTTTGATGGCTTTCCGGTTGTGTATTAAGCATCGCTCAAAACACATGTAAACGAGTTGCTTCCCACACAGCTATTTTTCTTCCTTGTTTTTCCTCTGTTGGTAACTGCAAACCTAGGTGCTAAATCAAGGTAACTGCTACTCTTGTAGGTGTATGGGCCCTTTGGGAGCTGATTTTTTTCAATCCTGCTCTGCCTGTCGACTAGTAGACACATATATAAAAATCTTCCTACCTAAGGGCATAGTTGGGTTCTTTGAATAAGTGACACACAGGAGAAGTTGCATCTGAGCTCTTTGTCACACAAGTGCTAACAAACAAAATGAGCCCCAACAGTTAAACACTTGAATGGACTGCAGTGTGCTTTTCCCTTGGTTTCCCATTAAAAAACAACAAAAAAAGAGAAGAAAATGAAACACCTTGTGCCAATAAAGAAAAAATAGGTTACACTTTTACTGGTTGTTTTAATGAGAGAGCCACTTTTGGCAATGTCACCTTAGTACAAATCCCAAAAGACAAGCAGCTCTGGGTTTGGGCTTGAACTGAGTACCCTGCACAGACAGGGCTCACTGGACGCTACTCCTCCCCGAGGGTCTCTTTCTTTTGTGTCCAGATGGATGGAGGTTCTGTCAGCAGAGTCAGCCAAGGCTCCCTGTCCTGCTGGGTTAGTTTTCTGGGCTCTGTAGGAAGGAGAAGTGAACTCCTAGGGGAGACAGATCAAGAGAGGATGATTTCCAAATGGTTGGCTTTCACATGTGGTGTGAAGAAGAAGTTTAGAATTTAAGTGAAGGTTTGTTGTAGAGTGAATGTCTTCCTCTGGCCCATGTTTGTGTGTGTGTATGTGTTATTTTTGCATGTGTTTAATCTTTGGCAGCATAGAACTGATGGTGCCCCTCTGACGCATCTCTCTTCTGAGGCTTCCTTTCTCACTCTCTTCACGACCGCTCCCCTAGGCTCTTTCGCTTTGGAAGATTTTAAAGGAAAGCTGAAAGTCCCTGTGAGGCACCCTCCTTTTGAAGTGCTTGGGTGGCCTGTGGGAGGCAGGCTGGACACAGCTTTGCAGACTTTCTGCATGTGATTTTTTCATTCTCTGCCAATGCTACTTGTCCGCAGGGATTTCATGCATGCTGGCTTCTCTGACAGTTCCTGGCCTGGGGCTGTATGGCAGAGGAAAGCCACCAGGGTGCCATTGAGGATTGCTGCTTGGCTCTCTGTGGGACAGAGAGCCAGGGGACACACAGTGGGACCGGAACCTTCCAGAATGTCTCCTCAGTCAGGTTTTTGAGGGTGAAGGGGAAGGTGGAGACAGAAGAAAAAAAGTGCTGAGGGCCGAAGCTGGTGCAGGTGACATTGCGTCTGGGTAAGGCAAATGAGAGGCAGTGAGGTGACTCAGAATGGCATCGAGGCGGTCAGATCAGGCCGGGCTGGCTCACACGAGGGTCCCGGGCTTGGCTTTTTCCTGCCCGTACCACTGGACATCAGCTAGTTCTGGATAGAGGGAGGAATCCAGGAAGCAGCTGTCATTGTAGCTCCTGTGGAGGTCCAAGAAGGAGAAGAGAGGGTTAGGGGAGAGCAGCATGGTGGGTCTGCATTCAAGGATGCATCTGTGACACAGGCTCTCTACTGACTATCAGGCCCCTGCCCAGGAGCGAGGCCTGGCGCTCTCCACCATGCTGAGGACACAGGAGGTGCTCACAGACCCAAAGAGCCCAGTAAAGGGGACCTCCTGAGCCCCTGAGACATGCAACCTAACACTCAATGTGTTGGCACTAGACTGGCCACATCCTGGAATCACCCAGTGCCTCAGAATGCTCTTGTCTAGCCACACCCCAGAGGTCTGGAATTGGCTTGGGGTACTTGAGTTTGGGGGGCTTTACAGCTCCCCAGGAATTCTCAGGTGCAGCCAAGGCCCAGAGCCCTGGAGGTGGTACTTTTCAAGCAGGAGATACTGAGTTATCTTCCATCAGACCCAATGGGTAACCAGAGTTCACTGGGAGACTTTGATTTTGTCCTGGAAGAGCATTTGAAATGGGAGGACTTCCTAGAGTGAAACTGAGGTGATATTCTGAATTGAGTTTGGAATGTTGTTTTTTAAATCAATGCTGTTTATTCCAAATACCGTGTTTTTATGACTATAAAAAGTATTCATTTAAAATATACAGTAGGGGGTTGGGGATGTGGTTCAAGTGGTAGAGCACCTGCCTAGCAAGTGTGAGACCCTGAGTTCAAACTCCAGTACCACCAAAAATAATAAAAATGAAAAATAAATAAAATAACATATATAGTAGGGACTGGGCATGGAGTTCGGTCATAGAGAATATGCCTAGCATGCATGAAGCTCTGGGTTCCACACCCAGCATTGGAAAACAAATCAAATAAAATATGCAGGAAAGGATAAAGAAGAAAATAAAGGCTTCCCAAAAAGTAAAAAGCATAACCAAAAACCAAAAGGCAAAGTACTTTAGGTAGGTATTACTGTAGGTAGTGGTAGAAATAATTCTTAAATTTCCTTCCTTCCTTCCTTCCTTCTTTCCTTCCTTCCTTCCTTCTTTCCTTCCTTCATTCCTTCCTTCTTTCCTCCCTCCTTCCCTTCATTCCTTCTTTCTTTTTCAGTGCTGGGGATGGAACTGAGGGTCTTGAGCATAGTAGGCAAGTGCTCTTCCACTGAGCACACCCTCAGCCTGCACCTGTACTTTGTAAATGTTTTTCATCTGACTCCCCAAATCCACAAAAGCTAGAACATGCCAAGCCATCCATAAGTGTATAATGAGACTCTTCTGTGCAGAGCACTGGAACCGCACGGGGTTAATTCTGCTTAAATATGGCTCCCTTAGTTAGGACACTGGCTGTGGCCATTGTGAATTTAGGCTATAAGTGGATAGTTCTGCTACACCCATCCTTGCAAATGCTCTCTCCACCCTGACAGAACTGACTTCTGCAGTTGGGCTCAAAGGATTAGAACTTCTAATGGGAAAGGTGACTGGGCCCTGTAAGGATACGGGCTGTTCTTTGGAGAACAAGGCCCCTGAAAGCCCCCACTCCCACCAGGGTGGACACATAACCCAGACCACCCAATTAGAGTCCCCCAAACACAGTTAGTGGTTCAAAGATGGCCAAGTAAAGACAAGCAGCTTTGAAAGCATGAGGATGTCAATGTGCTCTAGCCCCAGCCTTGTCTCAACTTCCATTTCTATCAGCTGGTACATACTCTTACTTGCGTTAAGCCTGTTGAACTGATTTTTTTTTTCTTATGCACTCAAGACTGGCATATTTAAATAGTTAACTATTTTTGTTTTTCTTTTTTAGTGGTACTCAGGTTTGAACTCAGGGCCTACACCTTTAGCCACTCCACCAGCCCTATTTTTGTGATGGTTTTCTTTCAAAGTAGGCTTTCCTTCCTTCCTTCCTTCTTCCTTCCTTCTTCCTTCCTTCTTTCCTCCCTCCTCCTTCATTCCTTCTTTCTTTTCAGTGCTGGGATGGAACTGAGGGTCTTGAGCCTAGTCAAGTGCTCTTCCCTGAGCACACCTCAGCCTGACCTGTACTTTGTAAATGTTTTTCCTCTGACTCCCCAAATCCACAAAGCTAGAACATGCCAAGCCCCATAAGTGTATAATGAGACTCTTCTGTGCAGAGCACTGGACCGCACGGGGTTAATTCTGCTTAAATATGGCTCCTTAGTTAGGACCTGGCTGTGGCCATTGTGAATTTAGGCTATAAGTGGATGTTCTGCTCCTCTTGCAAATGCTCTCTCCCCCCGCCTGGCTTCTGCAGTGGCTCAAAGGATTAGAACTTCTAATGGGAAAGGTGACTGGGCCCTGTAAGGATACGGGCTGTTCTTGGAGAACAAGCCCCTGAAAGCCCCACTCCCACCAGGGTGGACACATAACCCAGACCACCAAGAGTCCCCCCAAACACAGTTAGTGGTTCAAAGATGGCCAAGTAAAGACAAGCAGCTTTGAAAGCATGAGGATGTCAATGTGCTCTAGCCCCAGCCTTGTCTCAACTTCCATTTCTATCAGCTGGTACATACTCTTACTTGCGTTAAGCCTGTTGAACTGATTTTTTTTTTCTTATGCACTCAAGACTGGCATATTTAAATAGTTAACTATTTTTGTTTTTCTTTTTTAGTGGTACTCAGGTTTGAACTCAGGGCCTACACCTTTAGCCACTCCACCAGCCCTATTTTTGTGATGGTTTTCTTTCAAAGTAGGGTCTCGTGAACTATTTGCCTGGGCTGGCTTTGAACCACGATCCTCCTGATTTCTGCCTCCTGAGTAGCTGGGATTACAGGCGTGAGCCACCAGTGCCTGGTTAGTTTCTTAAAATCTTGAGAGAAATTTGTTTCCGATACAAACATGATCTTTATCTCTTTGGAACAAAATTTTCCTTAGGGGCTATAAGGATATAAGGAACCACCTTGGCCAGAATTTTTCAAAGCAGACTTGTGAAATGCTCTAAGGAAATAAAAGAAGGTTCTCAAAGAAGTATGAGGACTCAGTCTTTGGGAGCACTGCAATGTAGGTGGACACAGTAAAGGCTCTGAGATTTGTTTCACTCAGAACTTCCCAAACAGTATAACCTACCCACACCCACACTGAACATGCACTGGAAGATACTCTCTTACATAGCTTGATGTTATAGAATGTGTTTGAATCTCTTGTAGGATCCCAAATAGCTTTCATTTGAAACTATTATAGTTAAAAAAAAAAAGTTGAGTATTTGTATTTTGATTTGAGCCAGGCCTCCAGCCTTTTTTGCTTTAGGCATTTTTGAATAGGGTCTCCCGTTTATGCTGGGCCAGCCTGGACCTTGATCCTCCTCTATGATTCCTCTGTAGCTACCACACTCAGCTTTATTGGTTGAGATGGGGCCTTGTGAACTTCTTGCTCAGGCTGGCCTTGAACCATGAGCCTCCCAGTCTCTACCTCCTGAGTAGCTAGGATGACAGGTGTGAGTCACAGTGCCCAGCCAAAAGTCCTCTTGCTATTGATCATTGGCTCAAGTAAGACCACTGAGTTCAAAACAGTAATATTTGGATAAAGCAGCAGATCACGGGAAGGTGCTTGCAGTGTTTCTGTGGATGCAAGATACAGTCCAACCTGTGGTTGGACCACACTGCTTTCCTGTGGCTCCTCAGGGGGACTTCAGAATCACCAAACCCCACACACAAGAGAGTGTTGGACTACCTTAAACTTCTGTAGGGTTTCCAGCTTTTAAAACCGTGGGACCCTTTTGTTTATCTCATTATCTCTTTAGCAACCTAGTATACAAAACAGACCAACCAAGGTCTGAATGGGAGGGGATGGGAGAAGATGGGTGGGAGCCCCACCCCCACACTTGTCTGGTGGTTTGGTCCCCCCTGAAACCAGAAGGACCGTGATGTGAAAACCCTGGGCCTACTCTATCCCTTCCTCTGAGAAGGGTAGAACTTACAGCACCACTGTGGTTAGTTCGAAGTGCACAGACATATCTTTTTTACAGATTAAATTTTGTCTACAGGACAAAATGAAGCTGGAAGAAAAGATGTGTTCATCCAAGCTTCAGGTATTTTATAAGGACTATTTCGAAGTGATTTCCCCTTGACACTGAAGTGTCAAGATGTGGCTCTTTAAGCTGTAAAGGGAGCTGTTTGTGTTGTCATCTCGCTCTTAGGCTATGTGTTCTGTTGGCTCAGGCAATCCCTTGCTTCTCATTCAGTACAAACTCAATTCTAAGCAGTAGTCGGGAAATACCACATGCCAAGAGGGCAAAATTAACAAAGCCCACGGTTTAGGAAGCAATTCTTCACAAACAGTGCTAGCAGGGAGGCACTACATAGTCACCTGGGAAATTTAAGGGAGTCATTCTCTGTGACCTGAGTTGAATACGATGAAAGCCTAGGGGTGTTCTCAACCACCAGGAGGGGAGCTGAGACCTGTGCACTGTTGGCCACCAAAGGTCTCAGGAGTGGGGACTTCTGCTGACAGCCACTGCCTGTGGGGACTTTCCGCCACAAGAGTGTCCCTTCCCAAGGTGACACTCAGAGAAACAAAGGCACAGGGGCCTGCAGGGGGCTGGCTGAGCCAGGGCCTCTAATATAGGGCAGATGGCAAATCCATGAACCTCCAATACCCATATCTTAGAGGAGTTTGAGGCTTATAACTGCTGAGCAGAGGGAGGTGAGGCAAGGTGTATGAAAGTGTGTAAGCTCTTGAGTGGGGGAAGAAGGAACTTCGACAAAATTAGGTTGATAAATGTTATAAATTGATTTTATAAATATACATATCCACAGTGGCTTCTCTTCATATCTCTTTATCTCCATACCTTAGCAGTAATTGAGAAATGCGACTTAATTTACAGCACTAACTGGCAGGGTACAGTGGGGTTGCCGAGCAGTGCTATAGGTGGTCACAAAGCCAGGTGACAAAGCCCTCTAGCATTGTGTGTCACCTGGTCCAGACATGTGCTACTGGGCAGCATTTTTTTTCTTTTAAAATTCATTTGAGCTGACTCACCTACAATCCCACAGCAATCTTTCAAATCTAATTCTCAAGTGCCCATGACCATCTCCACCTCCATCAACCTGAGCAAAGGATTTTGTCATCCCCCCACCCCATATTGGAGAAAAGACAGCAATTCTACTTCAAAAATGTTGCTATCATAAAGTAGGGCCAGGAACGGTGGTGTATGCCTGTAATTCCAGCTACTTGGGAGGATCACTGGCCCTGGCAAAAGTGCAGACCCTATTTGAAAAACAAAGGCAAAAGGGCTAGGGAGCATGGCTTGAGTGGTGGAGCACTAGGTCAGCAAACATGGGGCTCTGAGTTCAAATCCCAGTACAAAGTTGTTCTCATGAATTGTCCTCTCTTTCAATCTCTTCTCTGCCCTAGCACCATAGGACAAGGAAGCCATCTTCGTCTCCAAGGCTACAGCCCTGCCTTCCTAGTCCCCACCCATCAACTACAGAAGTGGTTCCACCTCTTTCCCCTAACTTGTTCACGATCTAGTTCTAACCTGCTTCCCAGGCTGAAGTTCTTTTTCTACAGCAAAACCAGCCTCTGCAGCTCTCCAAACAGCCCAGATTGTTTCTGTACCTGTGTTTTTGCCCTTGAAATGGTCTCTCCACCTCTGCCTGTTTAACCTCCTCCACCTACTACAGTTCTTTGAAGCCAGGCTTGTGGAACATCTCTGAGAACTCAAAGGTGATCTTTCTCATCTCTGAACTCAGTGTTTTGGTTTTAACTCTTAGAGCACTTAATACATAGGTGTGGCAGTTTCTTAGTCCCTTCACCTATCACCTCATAGATTTGCAAACTGACTTGAACTTGAAATTCTAGAACTATCATCTAGCATGTTTCCTGGAATATAGTCAGGGTTCATTGTTTTTTTTTTTGATTCAGTAGCCAGGGTGGTGCCCGGGACTCATTTCAATGAGCTCGCGGGTGGAAGTGATGATAATGATGACAGTGATGATGCTGATGTTAGATTTCCAGACCACATTTTGAAAAGCAGAGCTCTATAGAATTTGGGGCAGTACACAGCTGTCACTCAAGAATGCTGGGGTGTAATTATAGCTCATCTTTTGGTGCTTCTGGATCAACTTACTCTGCCCTTGACATTTTGAAACTTAAGTTTCAGTGATGCTGTTCTCATGGATACTGGCTACTAAGCCAGTAAAAAGCTTTTAAAACTATTTCTATGTGTACTTAGAGCCTGGAGAGGCCTCAAACATATGCTGGGGGTCCTTTCTGGGAAGTAGTATTGGCATGTCGAACGTCTGATGCAGAAGCATACATATAAACTTATAGTTCCACATGTGTCTAGAAATAAGACATAAAAATAATGTCTTCCACATCATTCAGATGTTTCCTTCTGGAAATTATGACACAGGTAGAGGCAAACATACATGCAGCACAACTAGGAGCACGAACTCAGGGGCAGTAAGAATGAAACATTCCCTTACGGTACCTCTATTCATCAGTACTTTGGTGAGTTGGAGACACACACCCATCCATGATGGATGAGTTTTCTGTTGCTTCTCTGAACAAAGGAAAGCAGAAGGAGGAAGAGAAGAGAGGTCATGTTAGAGAGAGGAGGTGACACACATAATTAGTAGCTTATTAACACATTGGAGAGACCTGCTGAGTATTCACCCGAGTGTTAGTCACGCAGAACTTCCAATCCCCATCACTGGGTCAAAAGACCTCTTTAGTTCTGTTAGGAAGGCAGGTTTTGGCACTTTTTACCCATGGTCTCGTCTTCTTATCATAAGGACAGAATTGTTTGTGAATGATAATTCAGTTCAATCTGGCAAAATATCTTTTTGTTTCCAATTTGTCCTTACTAGCTCTACGTGGTGAAACAGGCTATTGTCAAGATAACTTAAGTGAGTATGCACTTAAGTGAGGAGTGCTTGTAAATTTCAAAGCCTGTTGACAGTAAAATAATAATCATATATTTGGATCAGGAGAGATTGGGCATGGTCAGAAACTTCAGAGGATCCAGAGAGGTATCTTGAGATGTGAAGTGTCCTATTTGGATGACATGGTTTAGCTACTGGAGGTATACAGAATGTGTTACTTTTTCATGAATCAGTCTTGGGAAGACACTTGAACTGGAAACCAAGAGGCTGCTGTTTGGACACAGGCTAGAGCTGGGGTGAGGATGGTATGTCAGTGAGTGTCATAAATGATCTGTAATAAAGACAGAAGGGTAGCTACTGCTGAAAGACGCACCAAGAAGCAGAAGTGGACCTAAGAACTCTGTACTTGTGGACTACAGATTCTCTTAATTCAAAAAAGAGTAAGAGGCACCATGGGATACTGCAGTGGTTGTTGAGCTGCTGAGCAGAGAGCTTGTTAAAATACAGCCTGCTGCCCCCACCCCACAGCTCCTCCTTCAGTAGGTCCTGAGCGAGCCTGAAAACTTGCATTTCTCACAAGATCCCAGGTGAAGCTCGTAGTGCTTGTCTAGAGTCCATATTTGAAACACTGGCATAGTACAAAATGGAGGGCTTTGGGGGTCACACACTCCAGCTGTGTGACTTTGGCCAGGTTATTTATTTCCTCTGAGTCTCATCTACAAAACCAAGTGATCCAGATATCTCCATTGCCTGGGTGCAGTCAGGATTCTCTGAGCTCATATACCTTGTTAGATGCTTCTGGCCTTTGACAGACAGCAAGTACTCAATTAGTGTTGGCTCCCCTACCCCCATCAAAAACGAAGTCTCCAGAAAGCCTGGTGTAGAATTACTACAGGTAAACTTACAGGAGCAAAGATGCCAAGTGTGGGAGCCTGAATGCAGAAAGGGGAGCCAATTGCTGGGCTGTAGTTTTCTCAGGATTCAGTTCACAGACAGTGGTTAGATTTTTCCAGACATCCCCAACGATGCTCCAACAAACCAGAAGCTGTGGCTTAAGCTGCATGGGGCGGGGCTTGTGCTCTTCTAACCAACAAGTACTAATACAATGTGATGTCAACTTAGAAGCAGTGACAGGGGAGTCATGGGTAGAGCAAGAGCACCTAACTGGTCACAGACTGTAATGCTTTAGACTGACTATAAAGCAACATGAAGAGCTGACGCTCAGTTTCATTCACTTTGATGTAGGTGGCCTCTACTTGGGTACCTGGTCCCTTTGTTTGTTGATAAAGAACAAGTGCATGGCCCGGACAGAACCTTTTTTCTTAGGCTTCATCTTGACATTAAGACAGCAGACATGATGAGAAGTGTGAAATGTCTGACCCAGGGCACAGTACCAGGAGGGGCTATGTTAGCTCCTCTCCCCTGCATCCTTGCCTGCCATTTCAGGTCAGCCTGGGAATCATCTGGACCCAAATCAGATGTTGTATGGAATTCTGACCAATGAAATACAATCTCCCTTCCCGCTTCCCCCTCCCCACATCCAGGGATTGCTGTCTACTTTAAAAGAGAGCATGCGGAATTCACCCCCATAAAAGGGGAGGGAGGCAAGGAGTTGGGGTAGAAGGTGGCAGCAATCCATGGGGTTTCTTTAGAAAGGAACCCATTTCCCAGTAATGAGGGCTCATCACATATCTGCTGCTATATCCTTCTGTCATACTGATGCTTTTCCTAGCTGACACAATCTAGAACCCAGTCAAAGGCCTGGAGGGAGAACTCACCCAGTTTGCCAGGTCGGGATGTGGTGGGGGCTGCTTGGGGGGGTGGCTCCAATTTCACTTGATGGTGTTGAGCTTCTCTGGCTTTGAGGTAAGGCAGCTGCATATGGGTGGTGCAGGAAAGAGGGAGAAGACAGGGGTCAGGCCAGGGGTGCAGCTTGGCCTGCATGAGCCTAGTGGCCAGGGATCACCTTTGCCCAGTATGATGCTCTAACGCTGTGGTGGGGTTATAATCACAGAGGGAAAACATCTCTGCAGCCCTCACTCCTGCATCTCACCAATTATACTGTCTCCCCCAAACCGTGCACCTCCATTCTGACTCAGGCTAACCTGGGATCCTAGGTTCCTGCTTTGCCACAGGACATGAGCACGGGCATGGCAATGGCTTCCAAAGCAGCAAAGAACCAGGAGCTCCCAAGTCTTTTGAGGGAGACCCCAGCAGGGAGTGCCTGTTTCTCTGGACAGCAGGAGGTCTGGCTCAGGGTGCTTTCAGGTGTGAAGATGAGGCTCCCCTTCGTGAAAGAAACTCCAGAAAGATTCTCAGCCTGTTCTCTGTTATTTCAGGCTTGCATTTGCTACTTTAAAACCCCTCAAATAGTCAAGAGATTTTCATAACTCATCCAGACTTGACTCCTAGGAGTTTATTGATGTAGTTGGGAAAATTCAGTAGAAAGTAAATCCTGCTTTGATGCATCCTTTGCTTTCTTGGGAATGGGATCCTTTCCCCAGCCAACCTCAGATACTGTTTCTTAAAATTTTTAGTTTAAAATATATTCCAAAAGATTGGCCTCCTCTCTCTAAGTAAAGCAGATCCACATAAGCACACAGTTCTGAAGATCATAAACCCTCCTAACTCCTTTGTCCCTCATATTTATATTCTGTGTGCCCTTTAAAGACTCAATGAGACGTTCTCTAAATCTTCCTGGGAAGTGAATGGCAAATCTCACTGGGATTAGTGTATAAACAAGGAAGGAACATGAAGAAGGTTGTAGGACCCTGAAGTCCACGATACCCTTGTGACTGCCTGAACCAGTTCTATTCTGGTCTCTGGAGTTTGTCATCTGGCCAACATGCCCAAGAAACTGACATGAGGATGTGGCAGTAGAATGCAGGAGCCGGCCACACCTGAGCGGCTGGTGCTTCCTCTTTGTCCTCTTATCTTCCTGGCTCCAAGAATCTCCCTCAGTTCCCAAAGATAAACCCTCTCCCCTGCCTCTACCATTATTTTTCGGATGACACTGCTGGATCTTTGTTTTCACTTAAGTAAAATTCCTGGCCCAGAGTTCCGCTTGCTTTGACTCTATTCTTACATGTTTAGCACCTGTCTGAAAATCCTCCCTCATTTTCTTTGCCTACAGTCAAAGGATATAGGATGTAGAATCTCTTCTCCCTCTCTCTGTCTGGGGGGGTGGGAGTAAGCAAGCAAATGACTGTGACCAATGTGGCACAGGTAGCTGCTCATCAATGTTGTATATTACTGCTGTTAAGATTTCGCAGAGAAACTGCAAACTTAAGGGAAGGATGGTTTCTTCCAGTTTTTACTTCATTCAGTATTGCCCAATACTCTCGGTACAGAAACATCAGGCAAACCTTAGTGTGATCATGGAAACCTTCACATGTAATATTAAGGATATCGAAAGCACTTGACAAAAATTACTCTATGGCCGTATCACGACATCATTGAAATGGGAGAGTCAGAAACAGTCAAGTTATCTATTTTGACATTGGTGTCAAATGTAGAGTGCCAGCACCTCTTTCCTCAGCCAGACTGTCCCCACCTGGGGGACTCTGGCTGAATGTCCGTGCTTCAAGATCCAAGCCTACTCCTAACCCAGCTTTCCTTTGCAGGGGTATAGCTTCTTTAGCTAATCTTCTAGAATTTCTCTTCACCAGGATGAAGGGGACAACTTTGGGCTGGATAAAGTGACCAGATTCTACCTGTCTTAGATTTCTGTCCTTAGGAGAAGAAGGAGGAGTTGGAAGAAGGGTCTAGGTCCTCCCTCAGGAAGTGGAGAGGAAGAGAGTTGGCTCCGCCCACTGTGGAGGGTCAGGTGTGGCTAGGCTGCAAGGTGGGGCAGGGGTAGACCTCAAGTCTCCCACATCCTACAGTAAGGTCCCCAGAACGAATGACTGACTCCCTCTCCTCGCTGCCTGGCAGTTGGCACCCAGGTCACTGGTGCGCACCGGCCCACCCTTCTCACCTGACGTGGCCTTGCACATCTGGGGCATCCTGGTGACCCTGCTGTGCGCCACGAAGGTGCTCTGGGAGGAGGTGCTGTACTGCGAGCCGCTGTCCGAGGAGGTGGAGCTGGTGTGCGACAGGCGGCTGTGCTCCTTGTGCGAGGCGGTGGAGCGCTGGTACCACTGGCGCAGCTCATCGGAGACGGCGGCGCGGCCCGGGCCCTTGTCGTGGGCGCCCTCGCGACCCAGCGACGGAGTCCGCAGGATCTGCGAGCGCGACGGCGTCAGGCGGCCCGCGTCGCCCTCGTCGCTGCCGCCGCGCCAGCTCTCCTTGAACAGCCCGCCGGCCGTGTAGGAGTTGGAGGTCTTGAACTGCGCCTTGACGCTGTAGTGGCCCTCCTGGTCACTCTCCAGGCTGCGCACCACCACGGGCGTGGCGCTGCCCTCGATGTACAGCGGGTACTCCTTGATGCGATACTGCGAGCTGGGCTGGCTCTGGCTGTGCAGGTACACGCCGCCCCCCGCGCCCGCGCCCGCGCCCGTGCCCGCGCCCCCGCGCGCAGCCAGGTTGGGCATGCTGCCGGAGCTGGCCGAGCCCAGCGCGCCCGCCGCCCGCTGTCGCTGTCGCTGCCGCTGGCGCGCCTTGGATGGCGAGTCCTCGGCCAGCGTTGAGTAGTTGGCGTTCATCTGCGCCGGGTAGTAGTGCTCCGAGCTCGAGTGGCTGGTGCACGACGAGCAGTCGTCCATGGGGTCCGAGCCATTGCTGCTACGAGTCCGCGGGGTGTAGAAGTCGGGGCTCCCCGTGTCGTTTTCCGAGCCCAGCAGCTTGCCCTGGGACTCCAAGCTGGAGCTCCGGTGCCTAAAGTGCAGTGCGAGGCTGTGCAGTCGCGTGGGGCTGATGTCCACTGACCTGCGGGGAAACGCGGGCTTGATCTTGATCTTGGGGACCCTCAGGGCGGGGGTGGTCCACGCTGTAGACTCAGGGGAGAGCAAAACCCATGCAGGCTCAGAACTCCCAGCAAATGGGATTCTAATTAATCCGCAGGATTGCCCTGGAAATCCAGATGCTTCTAGGGTTTCCAGGAGAGGAAAGGAACTGAAGCTCCCTGGAGGCAGAGCCAGGAGTCTCAGCTTTGACACTCTGTGGGAAGCTAGTGGGCACATGGGGTTTCCTTTGAAAAGTGTATGTCAGTATCAGTTGTGTGTGTGTGTGTGTGTGTGTGTGTGTGTGTGTGTGTATTTAAAGGTAGAAAATGATCCTATGGATACAAAGAGAATTAGACAATGACTACTCTAAGTACTGCATTAAACCCTTTAAAATGCCCCTTCTTGTAGGTTAAAAAAAAAAACCCAAAAAACAAAACCAAAAGCAAAAACCGGGTTGGGTGTTTGCATGCCTGTAATCCCAGATACAGGGGAGGCAGAACTATGAGGACCAAGGTCAAAGGCTGGTGGAAGTAGGAGGATCAGGATCAGAGGCCAGCCTAGACAAAGGAACTGAAACCCTAACTGAAAAACAAACTATAGCAAAATGGGCTGGGGCATGGCTTAAGGATAGCACCTTTGCCTAGCAAGCCCAAAGCCCCGAGTTCAAATTCCAGTACCACCAAAAAGAAAAAAATAACCCAAACCAAAACAACAAAACACTCACCGGTCCTATTAAGACCCGTTCATATGGTTTAACCAAATATTACTCTAAAAGGCACATAAATGGATATCCATTTCCCATGAAAACTCTAAAATGGAAGGTTGGTAGAATTCAGAATCCCTATAAAAGAATGATACAAACACTTACCATACTGTGAATTTGCCTTTGATCCACTCTGCTTATTTAAATCCATGCTATCAATACCATTGGATACCATCAGGCAGATGGTGGTGCCCACTGTTGGGACTATGTGAAATTCACAGTGGCCCCTCAGCCACAAACAGGCAGAGGTGAACTTCACTTTTGTCACTCAGGGTAGATCTGGAAGCCCCCCAAGGTGGTCTTTTATGACCTGATTTTGCTTCTTTTTTTAGAAAATGAATGTGATATACTGAAGTTGATTTTCTTGCCCATTTCATTTGCTCTTTACAAAGGAAGTCCAGATAAATTAGGGCATCAGTAGAAAGATATAGGAGGACTATCAAATAAAACATTAGCCCATCAGTGCAAGGGCATTTTGGTCCCTGCTCTTCCTGTGCTCACCTGGCTGGCTTTCCTGCCTCCACTTCACTAAGGTGGCTTCATCCTTGCTGACTGTGTCTAGGAGCTTGGGATTCTCCAGAAGATATCACACACCCCTGGTCATGGACAGTGGGCTGTACTGGGTCTCTTGACTAAAGTGGACTTACTGCTTCTAGCTCTGTTTTTTCTTCTGCTTCATTTCTAAAGAGAACCTTTCAGGCTGGACTCAGAACAGCTCAGCTGTTTCGTGGGTTATTTGGGGGCCAGCAAAGCCTCACTGTACAAAGGAAGTATGGTCCAGGGAGACAGGTGCTTGAAAGACTGGAAGACTCACCTGGTGGAATGGACATAGTGGGGACTCCGGACACGCAGGTCTGGCGTGGATGGCATGCTGGACTGGGAGTTCCAGTGCGGGAGGCCACGGATGGGGCTGTTCTGCAAAGAGCTGCTTCCTCCTCCTGCTTCAGCACAGCTTCCCGTGCTGGGGAAGCGCTTGTGACTACTACAGATGAAGGGAGCCATGTTGATCACTGCTGGGATATCATGGCACCTTTCCACCAGGGGGTGATGAGCTTGGGACGTGGATCTTTATAGGGTAAGCTTGCCCAGAACCTCCACCCTCACCCTCCCGAACTCTATTGTGGTCCCCACCTTTCCATCCCAGGGTGTGGGGGGCTTGTCCCTGACCCCCAGGCAATGAGATACAGACCCTCTCCTGTCTTCTCTGTAACAGGCACAGGGTGACAATTCTGTCAAACCCCTGTCCTCTAAGGACAAGTACATAAGTACTTACCTGCTGGAGCACCACTTGGATATTTATAGGGTGTGTAATTAAAAGAAATGAGGAAAACAGAGAAGCAGACCAAAAAACGCCTTCCAAAAACTCTCTCCATCATATTATCCACACAATGAGCTGAGAACGCACAGCTCAGATTACTGTGGTTTGGCTCCAGAATTATGTCAGAAGATGGCGTAGGATCTGAGCCACTTTGGGATTCCTATGAGTGGCCTCTCATTTGCCATCTTGGAATAGTGCTGCCTAAGATTTCCTAATTAATTCCTGTGGAATTTAACGACATTAAAGCCATCTGCCAGCAGGTTGACTAAGAGCCAAAACTTCAATTTCCCTTCAGATGGCAAATCTGTACCTCAACAGAGTGGGCAGCAGGGGGCACTGTGAGCACAGCACAGTAGAAAGGCAATCCCAGGATGGAGATCTACTTGGCTTGGAGTTAGGGATTTGTGGGTGGTGGTTAATGGCCTTTGATTCTGTCCAAGGGTGGGCAGTGACCTCCTTTGGGCTTCATGCCAACTCACCTGGAATGACTGTGCGAGGAACGCTTCTTGACCTTCTCATAAGGCTCATCTAAAGAGGACTCACTCCACATTTTGGGCTTTATGGGTGACTTGTCATAGTCGATGCGGTGATAGTGCATCTGCCTAAGTCCCTCCAGGGATGGGGAGGAGGAGGCCTGTTGTGCGATGGTGGCCGAGGAGGGAGTCCCTTGTGCGGAGACTGTAAGGGGGATATTGTGCTGGTAACCTGAGAGTCTTCTGCACAAAGACAAAGACAGGAACTGAGCAGGTCATCCCTTCTGCAAGCCTGGGGCCACAGCCCTCACCCTAGCACGGTGCCTTGGAGCCACATGGCAAAGAAACACCTTTGCTTCACCCCCGTCACAAAGAGTCCCATGACTCTGCTGAGACAAAGCAAAGTCAACCAAACCTACGCTCACAGCAGAACAAAACAGGAAGAGAGGCATCACTTTTGATAAGATACAAATGAACTCTGGACTTTATTCAATACCTTCAATAAATGATTGCCTCATACCAAACAGCAGAATGTAGTTATATTTATTGTATTGTAACTTTTTCTTTCTTGCCTTTTAGTGCTAGGGATTGAACCTGGGGCTTCATGTATGCTAAGCACACACTCTCCATTGAACTACACTCCCACCCCATAACTTCTTTCAAGAGACATTAAGCATCTGATTTGCTTTGGAGGAATTTAAGCTCCATGAAAATTTTATCTGCCCCATTCATTACTATATCCTTAAGGCTAGGACTGAGAGCTGACACCCAGTGGACATTTGTAGGAATGAAGGTATATCTCTGTCAGGTGAAACTACCTGATGGTGTGTCTGGTTATCTACTCTTTTCTGTGTTCCTAAAGCTACCTATACTGTCTTTTAATCTGTTCTGATATATTTTAATTAGTTAACTTGTGCTACTAGGATTGAACCCAGGGCCTCATGCATACTAGACAAATGTTCTACCACTGAGCTATATCCTCAAGCCCTGTTCTGAAACATTTTAATTTAGAAACTGCCTCTAAGTTTTTTGGGGAAGGAGAGGGGCTAAATGTCTCCCTGCATTCAGGGAGTAATGATTTAGCAGGTTACAGGGTGCTAGAGGGGGAGTAAATCCAGTCATCAGGAAGGCGATGTGTGGAAGGGAACTGAACAGTGAGTGGGCAGAAGAGGAGGAAGGAAAGACATGCAGCCAAAATGTGGAGGCCATGAGGTTGAGCAGCAGGTGCCAACCACTGGTGAGTGGGGAAGAGGGAGCAAGGGAGGAGTTCTGGGCAGTGCAGCTTACCCACTGTGTGCATCAAACCACTATGTGCATGCTGGAATAAGGAAGGAACCCAGCTGATAAGGACCTTGAACTCTAAGCAAGGAGTTGGGATTTGGTCCGCAAGCCACAAGCAACCTTTGTGACTGGTTAAATGCACATGTGTCAGGGTGAACTATTCACCTGGCAGGTTACCATGGGGGAAGCCATAGAGGGTATAGGATTAACGAAGCAGTCCAGGGATGAGAGCTTGGGGCTGGGCGACACAGGGGAGAGAAGAAGAGCAGCAAACCAAGGGAGGCACTGGGGGGAAGGGCTGAAGGAAGCACCACCAACCATTCCAGAGCCTATAAATCCATTTTCAACTGTTGGTCTTTTCACAGCCTAACTCTCAGCACCCCCAGCCAGTAAGCCTGGACATCCACACCATTACCACATCTCTTTTGCCCCCAGATCAATACAGGAAGAGGCTTTAGAAAGTGAGAGCTAGGTGTGACAGCTCACGCCTGGATTCCCAGACAGTCAGGAGGCAGAGATTGGAGGCTCTCAGTATGAGGCCAGCAATCTGGGGGAAAAGTTAGTGAGACACCACCAATAAGCCAGGCATGATGTGTATGTGTGCGTGAGAGAGAGAGAGAAAGAGAGAGAGAGAGAGAGAGAGAGAGAGAGAGCGAGAGAACATTCCCCTCAGGAGATGGTGGGTCTGGGACAGAGAGGAAACTGAGATAAAGGATGTCTCAAAATTAACCAATGACATGTTGTATTTCCTGGCAACTCCTCTATCACAAACCAATGTCACTAACTTGTTACTCTCTCCGGGAGAGAAACGGGAGTACCAGAGGCCCACAAACAGGACTGGGGTCTCTGATACTCAAAACAAGCCTTCCTTGGAGCCCCATGTCCTCCCCACCTATCCAATGAAGTGGACAATAAAATATTCCAAGCTGATTTCTAATAGCAGGGCCACGACCACTGGGTAGATGACTCTCCAGACTCTGCCCACATCAAGAGCAACCATTATTATTACTGCAATTATCATTATTACTATAACTGGGTAGGCCTTTCATGTTTTCCATCTGAATAACCACTTATCACTGCCTGCCTGAGGTTCCCTAGAGGGCAAAAAAAATTAACTGCCACTTAATATATTTCCACATAATTAATGCCTTGCTTCCCTATGTTTTGGCTTAACATCCGCAGGAACAGTCTCCACACTGGTTCTGAGTTTGGAATTCTTGCTGGAGTTCAACTCTGTTTTTTAAAGAATTGCTTTAAGAAATATACTGGCAATTTGCAGGGGTGAAGAGTTCCAATGGACACCCCATTTTCATTTCTACTACTGTCTCAGAAAGGGACACAGGGTTGGTTTCAGTCCTTCCTACTCTCTCAGACTCTCCCCACGGGTTCCATTTTTGATTTGTGATCCAAACCAATTTCCACCTCTTTCCTCGACATTATGAGTACTCAAAAGGTAACTCCACACAAGTGTAGATTCTCTAGCTAAAAATGTGATTTTGGCTTCTAAAATAGTAAAACACCACTCACTAAATATCACCTCAAATCTTACTCCTGGGCCCTGGAAAATACTAAAATTCCCATAAGTGTGTCAGTGTGGCACCTGCCCACTTCCTGTCCCACAGTGAATTATGGCGAAAGAGAGAGCTAGGGGAATCCAGCAGCCCCCCTAGCCCTGGCTCTTGCCTTCATGTAAGGCCATTCCCTGACTGCATACAGAATAGCCCTGGTATAATCTGTGTCCCTCCTTTCAGAGTAGGAAATGGAAAACCTACCATCTTCGAGAACAAGGGCATCAGAGAGGGAGCTGTCTTCACTGGCAACATTTCCATCTGGAAGACAAAAAGCCAAAGTCTACAAGGTTAGCACATTCCAGAAACAAAGCCCTCTCTGTAGAAAGGAGCGTGGCCATCCCCCACATCTTTCTAATCAGAGACAAACCCATGAACTATAATAAAAAATGCTGTCGGGTGTTTTTTCTGACAGTCCCCGTGGTGGCCATCAGCTTATCCTCCCCGCCCTGACACTGCGATCCTCCCCAGTCTTTGTGCGTTTTTGCTGTTGTTCATGGCACACTGCAGAGCAGAGGCTTAGCATCTCACAGAAAGGCTGCCTGGCCTGGCCAAGCCACAGCATTGTCCCAGCACAAACTCAGGGCATGTACTGACCAAACCGAAGGAAGTCAGCTGCTCTTTCTTCTGTAAATGTGAAACTCGGGCAGGGAACTTAGTTTTGCTCCCATGGCAATAAATGGTTTCTTAATAAACTTAAGTCATTAGAGGAGAAAACAAGCATGCTAAGTGCAGACTGCACCTCTCTAAAGCTTATTTTTATAGACACCATTCAAGTAAGAGCACACCCATGAGGGAGACAGTAAATAATCCTCCTTCTTTCACCACTGGGGAAACTGAGGTGCATTGCAGAAGGAGGCTGTGTCCAAAGCTGCACTGTTCTCCTGACAAAGTCAGCAAAGGTCTCAAGTCTTCAGATTCCGGGTCTAGAGTTTTACCCTTTTCTCTTTGGCAGTATTGGTGTTTGAACTCAGGGCTCACACTTGAAAGGCAAGTGCTACTACCTGAGGTGTGGCCTCAGCCCTTTTTACTTTAGTTATTTTTCAAGTAGGGTCTCAGGTTTTTCCTAGCCAGCCTAGGACCCAGTCCTCTTATGTGTGCTATCTGGGATTACAGATATTTCTCATCACTGTTTTTTCCTTTTTTTTTGGTCTGGGTTGGCCTTGAACTGCTATTCCCCTATCTCTACCTCCCACATAGCTGAGATTACAGGCAAGTACGATCAGGCCCAGCCTGAGTTTTCTCTCTTGACATAAAAAGCCATGCTAAGGAACAAAGAAGCAGACTAATTCCTCACTCAGCTAGCCCTTTGCAATGAAAACCATTTCAATGAGGCAGCAAAACAGAGAAGGCAGATTCTTGAACAGTTTAAAAAAAATGGATGTAGCCTTGGATGGAAGGACTTAGGAGGTGGTACAGATAATGACTTAGAAACAAATTGTGTCAGTGGACCCAACAGAACAGCCTTACTCAGGCAGGCTACAGAGCAGGCTCTCCTGTGGCCATGTGGCAGGAGGTGGGGCCTCCTTGTACTGCTCTTCCCAGATTTGGCTCTTCTGGTTTCTGTGGAGCTGGGAAGCCAAAGTACCTTGGAGACAGAGGTCTCAAAGAAGGCATGAGACAGAGAAGTCTGCAGCCCGTTAGGGAGTGGGGGAAAATTACATCACGGTCAGGAACAACAGATGAGATACAGAAACCTGAGTATTTCCAATTTCCTATAGCAAAAGCATTTTTTTTGGTGGTCCTGGGGTTTGAACTCAGGGCTTTCCACTGGTTAGGCAGGTGCTCTACCTCTTGAGCCACACCTCTAGCCCAAAAGGATTTTTTTTAATGATCAACTGCCCTATTCCCTCTCTCAACTAGGAACTCACTTTCTTGTGGTTGATGGGGGTGAGCAGGGAGACATTGTGTCCTGCCTTTGACTTTCCAGACCACCATTGCTTGTCTATGTGCCACATTGTCAAGCTGTAGCTCCACAATACAAGTGTGGTAAAAGGTATAGAAACATCAGATTTACTTTGGTAACCTTTTTTTAAAGTGTTCATTTCAGGGGCACCACGTACATTCACATGGGTGTGCAGCCATCACCACCCTCCACCCTCTGTTTGGATAACAGACTGAAAACAGATTTCCCAAACTGAAACTCTATATCCATCAAGCAATAACTCCTCATCTCCCGACCCCCAGCTCCTAGAAACCTCTACTCTCCTTCCTTTCTTCCTGGAGCAAAAGTATTTGAAGCATGCATGCACTAGAACAGAATACTTGATGTATATTGTCAAGAATTCGCTGACAGAGAGAAAAGGATTACAATGGCTGAGGAAACAATGTTTGTTGGTGGATTTGGGGGAATTTCTTTCTGGAGTTTCCTAAACGTCACCAGTCCAAACTCCTGAGCCCAGATGGTGGCTCCTGCTCTAGACAATTGGAAGGGGACAGTCCAGACTTCCTAAGCCTCTTGGGATAGGAGGCCGCTAGCAACAGAATCAGCCTGAAGGGACAAAGGGCAGCAGGTATGGTGGCCTGCGGGGCCTGCATGAATACAGGAGATCCTGCTGTATGTACCAGAGTGGTCAGCCTTTCCTTGGAGAGGGGTAGTCAGGTCCCTGAGAATGGCAGAGCCTGGACTAGCTCTAGGCGAGGCTGGGTTAGCATAATCATTCAGCTTAGCTCATAGTGAGGGCTGAGAATAGTCAGCAACTCATTACAGGCTTGCCCAGGGAGGTGTTGGTCGTGTTAGCAAGGGTCTCTGTGCACAGTCCTTTCATCTGTGGGTCTGTGTGCACTTGACCGCTGTGTTGAGCATTAGGTCTCATTCGCTTCGGCTTCATCCTTATGGATGGACAGTAAAGCACAGGATGGGGAAGGGGCTGCTTAGGCCATCCTGGGAGCTGGACTTGGGAACTCTAATAGGACCTGGTTTCTGGGAGTGGAGTCGGGGCAGCTATGGCACTGACCGTCGATGACCAGTGAAGCCCTCTGGGTGGGTTTCTTCCCAGACTTGATGCGGTTCTCATTGATCGCATTTTCAATCTCCTGTAGCTTCTTCAGTGCATTCAGATAAGAGGTTTTTCTTTGTTTCTTCAGTTTTTTGCTGACATTGGGGTCACTAGCCAGGCGGCGAGCAGCCTCGGTGATCTGGGACTGAATGGCAAACTCCCGTTCCAGGCGCTCCAGCTCAGCTTCCTGTGGGAGAGTAAGTCACGGATTACACTTGTTGGAATGACTGGGCACCGGAGAGTCCATCCTCCCCACCCTGACCCTGGCCCTATCCCAAGTTTTGCCTGGCTTTATTTCTCCTGCCTCTATCAGGTTCATGAAGACAAAGCCTTTGGGGGAAATTCAGAGCCCACTGGCTTCATTTTCCTTCCATTTGGGGCACAGGATGCAGCATGGGTTTGCTCACACGTGTGCATCTCCACAGCCTCGCACACATGCCCTGTCATACTTGTGTGTCCCTTATGTTGGGACGTATCCCTACTTACCCATGTGTCTTCTGGAAGCTCTTATTGTACTTGCTTATTCAAGGAAGCCCTGCCTGGCTACAGCCTGGCCTTCCATGAAGCAGGGGTGGTGGGTGCTGGTGGAACCAGTTTTTCCCTATCTCCTTGGATGGGCTCCAGGGTCTCCTCCTTCTCTCCTCAGCTAGCTCCCTCCTCATTCTGTCCCTTCCAAAAGGGAAGTTGTGTTCCCCTCACAGCTGTGGGTGTTGGACACACCTCAGGACCAGATGATGGTACCCTGGACGGTGTGTCTACAGCTGGCCCCGGCTGTGCAGCCGTCTCCTCTGCAGATGTGTACACACCAGCTGCTGAAGGGTAGAGGGGAGGCCCCTCATGCATGTGTGTGAAGGTTTGGGGGTGACTGCAGCCTCCCTTAAGTGTCAGGCTATCCATTTCTCTTTTCTTCTCATCCCAGTGAAATCCCTTCATCAAAGCTGGCTCCAAGCAGCACCTGTTAGGTTGACATTTGAGCAGTGGGCTGTTTCAGTCTTGCTGAGCCAGTATCACCTGGGAGCTTGAGGGTAACCCATACCTCATGAGCCTGTGACAAACACACAGCCACATCTCCCAATACCCATGCATGGCCAGGGGAGATCAGAGATCCTTCCCTAGGTGATCCACAGTCACACTAAAGTTTGACAGGTTTTGATCTAACCAAGTAGGATGAGCCCGTTACGTTTCCTGGAATCCATACACCTTCCTGTTTGGTGGCTCAATAAAATATTCTTGCCTCTGAGCACAGTGTGCCAGGCTGGATGCTTCTACCAAGGACAACATTCTTTGCTTGATTTCATTTAAGTTTGAGTACCTAAAGCCTGCAGGGATGGGTACCAGGAGGGAGAGGAAAAGATGAGGGCTGGACAGAACTGTTAGAGGGTCTAGACTCCTCTCAATCCTTCCAATGCTGGCCACAATCATTCTTTCATGGGGGAAGGTTATCAACATGGACTTCTGCCCAGGGCCTTGAGACAGGACAAAGACCCATCTGTGAGTTTCAGCTACCCCAGCAGCTGTTCCCAGGCGGTTATGATAGTCCTGGCACAAGACACCCTGAGATTGTGGACATCCAGGAAAAATTTTGATACTCAAACCAAGGCAAGTATAAGGCTGAATGGGCTGTTTGTGCAAATGGTTACAGGACCAGGAAAGCAAATCACAGATCCAGGAGAACTGCAGCAGTGACAGACCAAGGTGGGGCTCCTCCTGCCTGGGTGGGGAACCCTGTGGAGTTCTACTTGCTTCTGCACTGCTTCCTTTTACCTGTAGGGGCAGGTAATGAAGACCCAGATGCACATGGAGTTCTGAGGGCACTAAAGTCTGCTTTTACTGTAAAGTGGGGAAAGCTACAGTGGGTCTGTGGCAAACCCAGTGGGACTTGGGGAGCACTCACTAAAAGTAGGCACTTTTTAAAGTTTAAGTGCCATATGTCTGCCCAGCAACAAGGGGAGCTGAAGTTCTTGAGATGTCCTAATAACACTGGGATTTGAAAGGTACCAGGTAGTCTCCTCAGTGGACCCCTCCTCTGACATTCATCTCCACCTCCAGCAACTAACATTTGTTGAGCATCAGACAGTTGCTAAACACCAAATAAACTGTTTTTCGTATACTAACACGCTAAATCTTAGCACTGTGAACTTCATTTTAGAAAAGCAGAAATGGCCAGATTTCATTCTGGATGAAGCGTCAGGTGTGTCTGCATCTCCCAGGGACCTGTAACCACAGGTCTTGGAGATTTTCCAACACTTCCATGAGGCCCTTGGCACTTGGGTCCCCCTCTGAGTTCACCCTCATGCTGACCCTATACTTTGCTGTGTTTCTCTAATTCTCACTTCTTCAAAGACTCAAAGTATACATGATCCTTTTTCCATTAGCTTTGAGATCTGACCTCTTAAGTTTTCTGTTCACTAGCATGTTAATGAGTAACTACTTAGAATAAATTTGGGAAGACCATGAGGCTGGAGGGTACAATCTGAATTCTGCAAGCCCAGACCCACCAGTGTTCAGTGTTCAAAGGAATAAAATATACTGAAATCCAGCTCTTCTAAACACGGACAAGCAAGGCCAGGATAGACCAAGCATCTTGTATGTGTTCATACAGTACTTTTGGCAATCAGGTAAATTAAGACCATGGGAGACAGGCTCTGATTGTCTCTCCACAGCCAGTGAGACCCATGTCCCCATGGCCATGACTCCAGTTTCCCTTCCTCTTCAGTGTTTTCTTCCAGAGATCAGATATTAGGTGAGACTCGGAGATTCCAAGGGCTGGGAGGCCATTACGAAGACAGTGTACATGAATGCCAGTGGAATGTTCCCCAAAGCCACTTGCCCTCTTGCAAATGGCCTAGCGTGTTAGACAAACTACGTCAACAGAAATCCAAATGCTCACCAAGGCAAGCAAATCCATCCTACCAAGGGAGACCACATACCAAGTAGCCAGCCCACTCCAGAAAAAGTAAAAAGAAAGACACTGGTATTGAGTATGCAATGAAGAAATAGTAACGAGAACCTGGGAGGCCTAATGAGAGGGAAAAATAAGGATAAAGTGAGTGAATCCAACACCAGTAGGGAAGAACGCACCTCTCCTTTGGGTAGGATTTTCTGTTCATCCAGCTTGAAGGCTGTCCCTATTCTTCTCCGAACAATAGGCGGCTCCTCCCCTGGGTCCAGGGGATATTCAACAGGCAGCTTGCCAGTGAGCTCCTGCATGTGTGAAACAGCATTCAGAGTGACTATAAATCAGAGCAAAGCACATGCTTGTCTTCTTTCTAGGAGACACACACAGACATGGACACACACAAACACACACACACATGCACGTGCTTGTGCACACCCTTGCATACCCTTCCATGAGCAGATTTAATGCACAGTTAAGAAACACTAAGCACTATACCTAAGTAAGAGCTCACAAAATGAAATTTTACCTGTATAAAAAGGTGTGAGACCTTGGTTTACTTGGAACAGGTCAAGATAACGTTTGCTGTAAGATGTAACCTATTGTGTTAAAGTGTTTAGCTGTTAAAGCCAGATTCCTTAGACCAAGTTTTCTGTCACTGAAGTGTTCTGAAATAACCTTGATGTTTAAAAAGAAAATTTTTGTTAAAATAAGGCTTGAGTTTTATCTTGTAGGGTACGCTTTGTAAATTTTCCATCCTTTGTAGTTCTGCATGTACTAGTCCTAGAGAAATGAGTGTGTGAAACTGAAATAACTCAATGGGAAGAATCCTCCACAGGGCTTGTTTTCCAAAGAAAAGTACTGTTTAGAGAAACGAAACTTCCTAGGTATGTTGTAAACCCTTATTCAACAAGGCTTGTGTATGGAAATGTAGTGCCCAAGTCACATTCTGCTTTAAGACGTAACAAATACAGATGAATTAGAAAAAAAAAAGGTGTGAGAGTGGTCCTTTTGCTACAGACTAAGTGCTCTTTGGAAAGTTCCCCAAATCAATTACTGTCAAGTAAATAAAAGTCCTACTGGCTGCCATACTACTCTAATTATATCATTTGCTGATCTATCCAATGTCCTGTGTGCCCACTATGTGGCAGGCAGGGTCACACCAGACAGTCAGCAGTAGTCAATACTATCTCTCAGGTCTTCTTTCTCTAAACCTTGCATCAAATAATATCTCTCTTCTAAGATCTAGGCTTAAAATTTCTTTCAAATGAGTTTCCTTAAAAAGAGTGGTATTTATCTGACAAATCCCAGGAAAATGCTGGGATTAAAGAATTAAAGACTGAATATGGAAAATTCATTCCATGTTGGTCACATACTGAAGGCACAGGCTGGACTGAAAAGACACTAACTTGTATACCATTAAGACTTTTAGTAGAAACTGAAAATCTAACTGATAGTTCTGACAGGCTACTAAAAAATTCTGTTGATTGTGTGTTTGGGGCTCTGGAAGTGTAGCTGCTATGGTTACAATGGCAGTGAATTTAGATGTCAGATCCCCATGGTGACACTGGTACTGGGACTGCACAGGGGACCTGAGGAATGATTGCAGGTTGTATATGAGCATGTGACATCTGGACTGAATAAAGATCAATTTGAGTCAGCAGCCAAACCACACTGTGGAGGCCAGGCATGGCTGCAAGAAGTCATCATTTCCAAGGACCAGAAAAGCCTGGGGGAGCCACTGTGTCTGTCACTCCAGTGGCAAAGGCTCTTCAGTCCCAAATCAATGCAGATGTTACACAAAAATTCAAGGGGCTTCTCTGAATAGGAAGAGCTCAGAAATGTCTTCCCATTGAAGTGGTCATTGTGGCCCTCTCCTGCGTGTGTGTGTGCGTGTGTGTGTATGCCTGTGAGCACATGCACACACACTCACCACTCTCCTGGATGTCTTTCCTTTTGCCTTCACATCACTGGAAGCAATCTTGTGAATTTAATGGAAGTGAACTTTTTATTCCTCAAAGTAAACATTTCAGAGCACAATGGCCAACTATTTGAGTACAAACCACTCCATGATGCCCCCTCCCCTTTCTTTTCCTTCCTTCATTCCTTCCTTCTTTCTTTTTTTCTCTCTCTCCCTCTTATTCTTTCTCTTTCTTTCTTCCTTCCTTCCTTCCTTCCTTTCGTCTTTCTTTCAAATGTGGTTCAATAACTGGAGGTGTGGCTTAAGTGGTAGAGGGCCTACCTAACAATCTCAAAGCTTTGATTCAAACCACAGTACCACAAAAAAAAGTCACCAAAAAAATGTGGCTCAAATGTCTCCTAAGTAGTTGTGTTTTGGGGGAGGGGGATAAAGGAGAATGGAGGAGGTGAATTCAAGGATCATATATTTGATACACTGTAAGAACTTTTGTAAATGCCACAATGTATCCCTAGCACAACAATAAAGGAAAAAATTTAAAAAGTAGTTATATATTTTGCAACTTTTTTTTCTGCTCCCCACTCAAAATCTGTCTATAAGTAATACAACCTTCTTGAGGGCTTTATAGCCTCAGGATTTTCTTTTCCATGCCTTGAAACTTACAAAAAGGAAGGAAAAGTTATAAACATTGCCGTGGATTTATAACCCTAAAGTGTTCGTGGTTTTAAAATATATTGAAAAATGAGGCTACTGATATTTCACCATCTGCTTGAAAGTGCCTGGGTCAATTCTCCGGATACTTTTAATCTGATTTCGTACGTAACCGGAGCTGCATGGTGAAGTAATTTAGCGCACTGCTGCGAAGCCTCTGCTTGGTTCCTCAATTTCCATCATGCCCAAAGCTTTTTCTCAGCCTCATTCTGGCTGCCCCATGCCCGTGGGGTCAAACGGTGTTTCCTGCTGCTCTGTGCTGAGGGCGAGGTCTCCAGGAACAGTGAGAGTTAGCAGGAAGGCTTTGCAAGTCCTCTACCACACATGCGTCAAGAGGCTGGTGGAAATAATCACACGGGAACAAGCGACTGGCTTTTGGGTTCTTTCTTCCACTCAAGTTACATTTTCTGTTGTCAACTTTGTTATACAGAATGGGAGTTTTGCTCCCCTTATTTTACTTTTGTTTTAGGAGAGACAGGGGGACTCGGTGCATGCTCACCTCATCTTGACATGCTTCTTACATTTTCTAATTTAGATTCCCTGCTGGGTTTAGGGACTTATCTTTTATTAAAAACAAAACAAGGCTTTACAAATTATTAAAGGCAGAAACCAAAATCCGTATTTTTTTCTACCCTCCAAGCATATTCTTTGAAAAAAAAATGTCACCAATATTAACAGTATCATATAGCACGTTCTCCAGCCAGGCCAATTCTTTCCTAAGATTTGCAATGGATTTGTGCTAATACAGTTTTGCTTTGAGCAGGCTTGGGTTTAAATCAATCCAGACCATAATTAAGCCAAGTTGAAATGTAACAAGATCTCCCTTGATGGCCCCTAGTTTCATTCTTCCTGCTGCAAAGCATTATTTTGGGGTAGGGGGGAGAGGCATACATCTCTTGGATTGGGCTTGGGAACCTCTTCATGATTCCCATTCGGAACTGTTTATCAACAGAGCTCTGCGCCATGTTCTAGGGAGAACAACCACTCCCAGGAGAGAACCCCCACATTGGGTCCATGTGCAAACACACGCACATATGTGTACACACATGCACAGCACATTAAAAAGTCAAGTCTCCAAACACTGCTAATGAAGCATCATGCAATAGACAGACTAAAGTAAAAATGGACATTTCAAAAAATATGGACATCGGCAATGGGAGTGTCTGTGTGCTGGGGAAGACTGACAGTAAATAGACACATGCTGGAGGAGATGCTGCTTTATATCAAGTTAAACATAGCTCTAGGTCAAGATTTTATTATTTGAAAATAAAAGTTAAAGAAACAGCAGACCATGAGTTTTAATCAGAATGGCTGCAGATTTCAAGTGACATCCTGGTGTCCCAGTGATGCTTCACAATGTCCAAAGACAAACTTGAAATTGAAATAGGAAAAGCTAAAGCTGCCACAACAATAAATTCAAGTAGACGCTCTTGGGAAAACAGTGGCAAGTCATGCTACTGAATGCAATAATGTCACAGAAGGGAAATGCTGTGCGTAGATAAGGACCAGCTAGGATGACTTGTCTTGGACCTCTTGGACCTCTGGTGGGGTCCTACTGAGGGTTTGGCCAGCATCAGCTTTAAGCACCTTCCATGTCCACTAACTTTTCTGACAAAGCATTGAGGAATGGATTTGCATCACTCTCCCCACCTCTGTCTTCTGTACATGTCTAGGATGGATGGCGTGACAGGCGACACAGATTTAGCTGCCTACCGCTTCCCGGAGACAGAGCCTCTTCAGTTCCTCTAGCCTCTGGCGTAGCGTTTCCTCCAGAGCTTCCTGCCTGGATTTCAAGGCGGCCAGCATGTCTTTTTTGGCCGACTGAGAGCTGTCCGATTCCTGAGAACCTGTCAATAAACAGCAGGGTTACTAGGCCAGCTGACACGGAGACACACATCTGGAGCACGAATGAGTTTAACTGCAGCCCACACGGTGGATACGGGCTTTACCCCAGGGAGTGTGAAATGAAACAGGTGTCAGTGAATTCCAGCACCAGGTGGAATTTATAGCAAGTCAGAGGACTGGCAGGAAAGCGGACACTTCTGAAAAAGAAGTTTATCTTTCTTGATTATCTTAAGCTATGCCACATACCTGCTTTAGTCTCACCAGCAAATTATAATACACTTTTCACAATAAAGGGGGAAGGTAAAGGTCAAGCCAATAATTTTAATACATGTTTTTAATTTCCTTTTGTCCATTTAAAATGCTGATTTTTTTTCTGGGCATAGTGGCATATGCCTGTAATACCAGCACTCAGGAAGCTAAGATAAGAGGATCATGAATTAGAGACCAGCCTGGGTTACATATTGATACCTCGACTTAAAAAAGACACCTTGCCTAATAAGCACAAAGCCCTGAATTCAAACCCCAGTTCCTCTCCTCCCAAAAAACTCCTTATATAATTTATTTTAATTAATTAATCACTTTGTTTTTTTGCTTAATGCAAAGATAATGCCTGTTGACCATAAAAATTTTGAAAATATAGGCAGGTATAAAAATAGTTGCTCAGAGATAATTACTGCTAGGTGTTCTTTTTTTCAAAGCACATATATTTCAAAATAAAATTAGAATTCCATCACATTTTTAAACTTCATGCTGTGTCATGAGCAAATTCTCTCCAGAGAAGTTATTTTTCCATTCTTTCCTGGGTAGAATATCTGTGATGATTCAAAAAGCAGGCTGCTATAAAGAAAACCTTTTCAGAAGGCAAACTGTGAACCAAACAAAGAAAAAGGAGCTGAAATGCCACCTGGAATAATTTGAGTTAGACCAAAAGAATAATTTCTGTGCTGTGATGTTTGGAGCCTGAAATAGGCTTCCCACAGTGAAGCTATTAGACATTTTCTATCTTGAAGGGGTAGGAAAGGCACACTGGCTTCCTGGTAAGGACAAGCTGATGTTTACTTTTCTACTCATGCCATGGTGAGCAGAACTGTAAGAGATGGATGGGGGCTGGGTCATTGTTTGTACATCCAATGGGCTCAGATGATACTACTGACAACAGCATCAAGTCAGCCCTAACACCTAGTGAGATTAATCTAGTTAAAGTCGAGCAAGATCGCCACTGGGACCAATTAAAGACCTACATAAATAGCGAGATAGCCTACAGTCATGGATCAGCAGGTTCATGTTTTAAAGTTGTCAATGAATTAAACAGTATAACCAATGCAATCCCAATAAAAATCCCAGCAGAATTTTTGGGGGGAGAAGGAGTAAGAATTGTATTATATATTGTATATATAAAATATTTCAAATATTAGATAGTTCATGGACAAGATAACAGATTTGAGAATAATCAACTGGAATTCCCAGAGTCAATGGTTCAGTTTCTTACAATGGTAGAAGGCATCTCAGTAACACAAGGCTTGAGAGAATTTTTATGCCTTTGCATCCAACAACTGTCCCAGTAAAAATACTTGTCTATACTTTTATTTAAAATCTCTGAGCAGGAAACCCTTATTCCCTTAATCACCATGCACCTAGACCTTTACAAGCCTAATAATGAACTCTCAATGCTAAGTACATTTTGACTCAGACTTAGGCTTTGTTCTTTTCCTTTCCTGGTGCATTTGAGCTTGAAATTGAGAACAGCTGTCAGTGATCACCGTAGAAATGTGCCATCTTTATGCCCTCCTGATAGCAAATAAATTAGCTTGAGTGAACAAGCAAATAAATGTTGTCAATCATAGACTTGGATGTTGTAATTAAGGTGTATTTCATCTTGGTTAAAAAAAAATCTAGCACCTGAATATTGTTCATTTTTTGAAGCTACTTTGCAAGTTTTGAATTATGTTGTAATTCTTTCCTGGGTTTTGACATGCTTCAGTTACAGGTATCCAAATTCAAAAGCAAACTCAAGCAAGAGCATGACCTTCACTAAGACTCCATTATCTCATGGTTCCTGTATACTAGAACCATATGGTGTCACACTCATCTGACATGCCACTGGATATTAGTGCAAGCTCCCCTTTTTGAAATGGTTCAGGTTTTCTAGGTCCATAAGTAATTACTCTGTGCTTATCAGTGCCAAACCATCTCCAGTCCAGTCTACATCCATTTCATGCAACATGGCTAAGTCATTTTGACTCTTAATCTGGCTCTCTTATAACCAGTCACCAATCCCATTTGGAGACACAGGAAAGTTTAGTGAGGCACTCACTCTCTGTTCCAACATCTAAAAATTAATAAGAATGTAAAGGAATACTGGGAGGAAGTCAGACTTCAAATTTAAAAAATGGGCCTGGGGATACTTGGGTCCAAGAAGATTAAAGGCTTTCTAGCTCCAGTGAAAAATTCATTGTTTCCTCTTTCACCCTTGCCTAACCTCTCCATAGAAAATGATGATTTATTAAGTCAAATCTAAGAGTTCACTATGTTCAAGAATGTCAAAAATCACATAATATAAATTCTGGGAAGTCAAAGAAGTCAAACACACAACTTTGGGATGATTGGGTCTGCAGTTAGGGGATTAGTTAAGATTTGGCCTTGAGTTCCAGGGCTCATTAATGCTACCTGAATTATTATTATTTATAGTAATTAACCTAAATACCAAACCCACATAAGATGGCAAGAGAATATTGGTAAGCCAGAGAACTTCTCCGCACATAGCTGGCAGCCCTAACACTGGCCTCTCTGCTGTACACCTTTAGCCTGGAAATCCCTCCAGAAGGAACCCGGGGGGACTAAGTTACCTCCCTGTAAAGTAACTGAGCCAGTTTGATGAAATCTCAGTCAGTAGTCACCAGATATGTGACCGTTAAGTAAGTGGCCTGTCCTCCTAAGTTTGTAGTAAAGACTAAATGAGATGATGTGTACACAGCATCTAGTGCTGTGCCAGGAAGCATAGAGGTTCATGTGTACACACACCTGTATATGCACACATCCTAATACAATGAGAAGAGAGAAATCATTGAAACTACCTCATCTGTCACTCAAGGAGGTATTGGTCAAAGGAAAGAACTTCACTTTGCAATTCAGTGTAGGGCTAGGGCTCCAAAGCTCACATTAGAAAGGAGCACTAACAGGTGTAGGCAGGATTTTCAAACCAGGTTTCTTGAGCCCTGGGTTTGCAGATCTGCCTCAAGGGCTGCGGTGGATGAAGGTGGGATCTGGTCAAGGAGATTCAGTGGGTTCTGGAGATCTCCATTCCAGCTACAGTAGCTCCATGCTGACCTGTCTCAGGTGGTAGGTTTTCAGACTGCATTTGAAAAGAGGTCCCACTACCTTTTTTGTCTTGAAAGGAAATTTATGGTTCTGAAATGAGGGCTCTGACGTTTGAGGCTGCCTGTGTAATCTGAGCCTGTGGGCTGTCACCTGCAAGTAGGTACACATGGTCACCATGAGGAGAGGTGGCCAAGGACCCAGTAAAAATCCCAAAGAGGGAGAGAGAGAGAGAGAGAGAGAGAGAGAGAGAGAGAGAGAGAGAGAGAGAGAGAGAGAGAAAGAGAGGAAAGGGTATCCGAAGAAAGAACAGGTGCTCTGTGACACTGAGCAGGCACCCACCTCCTCCACAAAGGCCTCTAGGCATTCTTTGAATAAGCCAGGGGCTCTGAAAGAAAGGGAAGAAGAAAAGAGAAGCCAGAAATCATGGGGCAGAGATTCAGTCTCGGGCTGGCAACTTCCATAGAAGAAACTGAGTGAGGGAAGAGCCTTGAGCCTCAGGTCAATGGGAGTCTCCCAAACTAAAGGCTCAGGAGCCCACAGAAAATGGTTCTAGACCCAGAGTTAATTCCACGTGAGCATCCAGAGCTGAAGAATGGAATGGAAGCTCTCTGTCCCTGTGATTTCCCCATTGCCAGTCATTTGAACACACACCTGCCTTTGCACAAGGAAGACCTCTTAAGTGTCTTATGTTAAGTGTGACAAAAATTATAAAATACACATAAATCTGTTCCCCTGGAACAGGACAGTGACTGATAGAAAAGACCCCTGGGTTTTCCTTGCAGATCTGCTATGGAACAGTATAAAGTCTTGGGGTTCCTAACCTCTCAGAGCCATCATGCTTCCATCTCTGAAATGCCCAGTTAACAAATTTCCGAGATTCCTCCAAACTTGAAAGTCTACTATGTAATAAACAACTTACTCAGGTAGTTTCACTTCTGCAATTTGTACAAAAGGAAACTTGCACATGGTACAATCCCCCTTCCGCTTTCTTTTTTTTTAAAGCCATCCAGACAAACATTCTTGCCACCTCTCCTCTTGCTTCAGTTTCTTCTATGGGCTCCTGCAAGTTTGAAGGGCATGTCTAATTAAAGGACTTACTTCTTCCTCTTATCAACAGGCCAAACCAAATAACTGTGACCTTGAACGCTAAAGAGTTTAATCTGAGCTGTCTGTAAGATTAATGAAGTAGGAAGATGGATGGAACAGCTTTATTGTACCCAGAAGAGTGAGATTTTGAAATTTATAGATTAAAGCTGGGCGTGATGGTACACGCCTGTAATTTCAGCACTTGGGAGGTTGAGGCTGGAGGACTGTGAATTTGAGGCTACTTAGTGAGACCCTGTCTCAAAAAAAAAAACAATTATAGATTGAAAAAGAACAAGCTAAGGGCTGTTTAGAAAGGGCTATGTGAAGATAAAAAGTTGGTGTGATAGTCCAAGGAAAAGCAGAGGTGATGTGAATACTTCTGAAAGACACACATAATGCATGAATGCTTTTGGGGGGCAGATAAAGTATCAAGCAACACCCAGATTTATAGAAAGGAGTGTCCTGAATATTCGTTGGAAAGTGATACCAGAGATTCCTAAAGCAGAAGTGTGTGATGAGGTTTAGAGTTAGCAGGTCTGAGTGTTTTTTAGCCCTGCTGTAGACTAGCTCTAGGACGTGGGCAAGCAAGATACCTTTT